CCTTACATGTGTTCCGAGAGTCCCTACCCCTTCATTCTCTGCCAAATCCTGCCAGGGCTTTTTGGGAAGTCCCTGCAAGTGGATTTCCTCAGCCCCTGGAGAAGCCCCTGATGGCTGAGTGGATGAAAACGTTCTGAATGAGCCTTGTGTTTTTTAATGTGATACTTTGAAAAACCTTTTCAGTTCAGATCTTATGATTTGTTGTTTGTAGAACATTAACATTAAGTCCCGAGAGTTCAAGAGACTCAGTAAAAAGACAGTGTGCTTTAGCTAAAAGGTATTATTAGTGAAATAGTTTCTTGAGGAACTTATTCACAGGATTTGAATATCCCGAGTACATATTAATATCACAGAGAAAGTCATGTTTCCCAAGTGTATTCCTTTGGTCCCTCAAAATGGTACAGGGCTCTTGGTTAGAGCTACTTAATAATTCTCTGTCTCTTCTTAACTCCTGGCTTAACAGCTAACCTTGAACTCTTTAAAAACAAACAAACCAAAAAACTCCTAGCTTAACAGCTAACTTTGAATGTTTTAAAAACAAACTCATCAGTGTACCAAATACATCTCAAAAGAAAAATTGTATTATTGACATCATCAGCTTTGATTGCTTGAAGAACTTTAAACCTTCTATGTGAATGATTTCTAAGAATCAGTTCAGAGGTGAAAAGAGATTATTGTTTCTAAATGCTCAGTCTATAAGAAATGATTTTGCTTATAACTGATCATTATTCAAAAGACTTTTTTTTGAGCACCTACTTTGTCCAAGGCACTTTGCTAGATGTTGGAGATGCGATTCTGACCCATAGAGATTCTTTCAACCTTGGCCTCACCAATGTATCTGAGGGGACTCAGCCTAAGTCAGTCTCTCCTATGGTAGGTGTTAGAAGACACATCAGGGGACAGACAGATCATCTAGCTTAGTTTCCACTCATTGCCATTGTAAAGCTATTTCCTGAAATAACGAAGAAATTGGCTGAGACCTAGAAACGCTTTATCAAAAACAGATTTTCACACCAGTCCTGGTTGCTGTAGGAAGACTTGTTCTAGACCAGTTCATGTTTATAGAGGGTATGTTGTCAGCAACATGCTAAGGGATACAAGGTAGTATAAGAGATGCCCAGTGAGGAAAAAGTAACCACTGTGCAGAATATGACAAGTAACAAGAGTGAGATGATGAATAAGTGCTCTGTGAATTCAGAGGTACGCAGAAGAGCCCACTGGCTGGAAAAAGAATAAGAATGGGGGAGTGAAGGATTAATATAAGGTATTCATGAGTTGGGATCCCAGCTCTGCCACTTACTAGCTGTGTGACCATGGGTGATTTCTCACTCTATGGAAGCTTCCATTTCTTTATCTGCAAAAGAGGAATCATAACATCTACTCATAGATGTGATGATAAAAATGCAAAGCACTTAGCACAGTGTCTTAAATGTGGCACACGGTAAATGGTATTAGTAAATACAGTAAAACTCAGTAAGTGATTTTGTTTGTCTATAGAGTAGCAATAGTATGTCATAGGACGGGTCAAGATTAAATAAGGTGACATCATTAAAGGGACTGGCATAATGCCGACCATATGGAATATGGACACATACAATAAATATTGGCTATTATGATGATGATGAAAAATGTGTGTAGATGAGAGGAGGCATTTTAGACACAGGGAAGAGGCGCATAGCCTGGTGTGGGCTTGGCAAGTTACCTGGTCCTCTTAGAGGGTTTGTTCAAGTGAACAGTAGTTGAAAGGTAGATGGTGGTTGTAAAATGTGTGAAACATGAAGATCCTCTTAATGAAGAAATATTGAAGGAAGATTTCAAGATTCCAGAAGAAAATTAAATGAGTAATCTCTAATTTTCCTTCTGGTTGAGATGCCATGGTTCCTTGAAGTCTTGCACTGATTCCTGAGAAAGATTGCAATGAGTCAAACATCCCTCAGCAGTGGCGATCCAGGGCTGCAGCCTGGAACACACCAACAATAAGGCAATGTGTGATGTGTGAGCTCTTCCCTGTTTTGATAGTAGGAGCCCATTTGCTGAATGAAGAAAATGTTTTAGTTCTTATGTGGCAATCTGTCCAAGTATTTGATTTGATAGGAAAGAGCAGGTAAAAGCCTATGAGTGTATTTGGTGACACATTATTTCCTGGTCTTTTTTTTTTTTTTTTCCTTTGGTTTTGAGAGCTAGAGTCAAGAGGAAGGAAGAGAGAAAATAAATGGCTCTCCAGGAAATGAGTCTCCAGGCAGAACTGAGACACCTGAAGAAGGTGTCACTTCATATACTTTGCACAGTGTGAGTCAATAGGCAGTTTCCGGTTTTGCCAAAGTGCACCTGAGGGCTGGTGCAAGCGAAGAAACCACTCCCTCTAAGACAGTTAATAGGACTGGTGTTGGCAGGAGAGTTTCATGGTTTAGGGTCTTAGGAGGAGCCTGAGAAGTCTGAAGGCTTCCTGCAGAGCTGTTTATATGGCACTGGCCAGAGTTGGAATATAACCTAGTGCAGCATTTCCAAAGTGTTCCATGAAATATTATGTGAAAATAAATTTTAAAAACTCAGAGCTAAGCAAGAAGCCAGAGATTTCTTTACTGCAGGATATCTCATGACCATTGTTATACTAATATGCATTCTGAGAGTCCAAGAGGGAGAATATAAATGCAGTACTTCTCACACTTGTTGGAAAGTGGTACTTTTTAATGTAGAATGTATCTAATCTAGGGAGCAGCCCTTTGGAAAAAGCTGATTTAAGGTCAGAGACACCAGGCTAAATCATTCCTTCACTCTTGCTGTTTTCTAGGGGGCCTAGGTAGTCACTTAGATGTTTGCAGGCAGCTTTGTTATTCCTGCAGCCAAATGCAGGACACTGTCCTTGAGAACTCCAGTCATTTGGAAAAATGTGATAGAGTGTGGTAGACAAAATAATGGCCCTCCCCAAAGATGTCCACATTCTAGTCCATAAAACCTATAAGTATGTGGCCTTACCTGTCAGAAGGTATTTTGTATATATGATTACGTTGAAGATAGTGAGATGGGAGATTAGCCTGGATTATCAGGATGGGCCCAAGGTCATCACAGGGCCCTTCTGAGAGGGAGGCAGGCAGGTGAGAGCCTGAGCAGATGCAATGGCAGAGGCAGAAGTCGGAGGGATGCAGGGCCACAAGGCAAGGAATGTGGGCAGCCTCGGTAGCTAGAAAAGGCAAGAAAATGGATTCTCCCCCAGGTACCCCAGCAGGATCGCAGCCCTGCCACCTACCGTAGACTCCTGACCTCCACACAGTAAGACAAATTTGTGTTGTTTGAAGCCATTAAGTGTGTGGTAATTTGTTACAGAAGGGAGAGGAAACTAACACATGGGTTTGAGGTTTGATATTGGTCCCACTTTTTCTGCGCTGAAAGTATATGAATTAACACACTCGTAGGACCCTTCTAAGCCCCTGCTCCCTTTTCAGGACTCGTAACAGTCAAGGAGGAGGCCTGCCATGACCACCCTCTGGCCAAAGATTCCTGCTTTCTTGCTGTCCTTCCTCCATCTCCCCAAGTCCCAGGGGGCAAACATCACTCTAGCTCTGCGTACACTGCCCAGGTGTGTGCAGCGACCAGACCAGTCCCCGACAGACTTTGAAAGAAGTGATGTGACTGGCCACTAGCCATGATGCACATCTGTTATTTACATAGTAACGTGGGCTGAAGAGTGTATTCCATTCAATTACCAATATCATGTCCTGAAAAATACTGAAATCTGGATTGGGTTGTTGTCGGACTGGTGTCATTTAACTAAACTGTGGTCACTGAAATGGACAGAACCATGGAGAATGAGGATTGCATCTTTTAGAATTATGGTGCAAAGCCTGCAGTAGAGTTGTTATCACTGGGGCTGGTGGGCAGCCTGGCCATGTCCTCATGTATCTGCTGAATATCAAAGTCTAAATTCGGTTGATGCATGGTTAGGATGTCAGTAAGCAATGTATGGATTTAAAGTTGAGCAGAGGATAATGAAACACTATTTGTTTCTGATCATCACAGTTCAGTTCTCCAAGAACCACACTCTGAGACCCTGAGATTTGCATGTAGGAGGTTTACTGGGAACTTCATGGCAACAAGGCCTGGCAGGGAGATGAGAGCACAGAACTGGGCAGAGGGAGGTGAGTGTGGAGCCTCTGAAGCTCACACAGCCTGAAGAGCTATCCCACAGTTAAGGCAAGGGGGCTAGACCTTAATGTCCCTCCATCAGCCAGTCATTGTGGGCTGTCCAACCCCAGGGAGAGCAAACGCCCTCCAGTGAGGAGTTCTCTCCAGCCAAGGATGCTTCTTTGAGAAGTGCTGAGCTGAGAGGTGTCAGCCTCTAACACTCCCAACAACAGGGAGAAAAACATCCTGTTTAAAGGAATGTGGGCAGCACATTACAGGGTCCACTACACTGATTATTGTATGATTTTGGTGCCACCACACAGCTGAACTTTACAGAGGGCTAACCAATATTTCTAGCAAGGCTCAAGTCAGAATCTGGGGCAAAGTAAGCAGGAAGAGGAGGCAGGAGCACAGGAGAGCTGACCCAGGCAGCTGAGCCAAGGACAGCAAGGACTGCTGCAGGGACAAGGCAGGGCCGCCTTCTAGGCCACAGTGACAACCTCTTCCTAGCAGCCTGTGGGGGTGGGATTGGCCTCCACTTTGGTTTTCATTTTATTTTGGCAACTTGTTAATTTGAGGGAAGTTGAAGGCCCTGTTACTTGGTCTTATCTTGGCCCTTTAGGGCTCATGGGCTTTGGATTGGAGCAGATGGGGAAAATGACAAAAACTTGAAATAAAAAGTTACTAGATTTGATATTTGTGGCCAATTTTTGCTCTAGTAAAATTTAGGTACCTTGCACAGGCAAGATGAAACTTTTTCAACTCCCCATCCTCCTTTTTCCTTCCGGTTCTTACACCACACATGTATGTGGTGTATATCTCGTTGTCTCTCCTGTTTAATCACCCCTGGCTCTTTATCCTATCTTATCTTTATAAAGAATTAGATGCAGGAGGCCACTCCCACTTCACTGAATTGGGAACAAATGGGGTCAGCTCCTCTCATCTCTGAAATGACTCCCATTTATGGCTTTGAGAAACTACCCCCAACCCCACACCACCAAAAAAAAAGATCCACAGATCTCTGAGGGAGGTTGCTAAGAATTCAGCAGGGAGATGAACAGGATAATAGAGGACTTTGTCACAAAGGGCTGACAGCATGTTTTAGAATTGCTGGTCTTAACGCTTAAGCTAAACAGTAGATAAAAAGAGATTTGTGCCTACTTCCTCGTGATAGTCTCTTTAGAAAGACTAAAGAGACTAAATATGGAAGAAGGAAGATGCTCCCATCTGTAAGAATTTACTTTTGGCATCCTGGTGGATTAAAGGTTTGGAGGACACATGACAAAGGCTTTTCATATGAAGAACCAAGTCTGACCCTTCAGTAGTGGCTGCCTAGAGAGGCTGTGTTAAGAATGATTCTGAAGCCAGAGAAAGCCTCAACCTGATTGGCTGATGGCTGCCCTGGCTGTACACCTGGGGAGAAGTGAGACACCTGGCATGTATTTGGCCATCTCTGGAGTAAGAATCTGCACACAACAGACCTCTGTTGGCTGAAGGGTGTTTATTTTCGTTTTTTAAAACTCCTTCCCATACATACCTTTAATCCAGTATAGGATATGCTATACTTTTTGAGTTACTCTGAGATAAAATGCTGAACATATGATGACAAGTTAAAGAGGTAGCTGTCTAGTCGCTGAACTCCAGGGGAAAGGTGAAGGACAAATTTAAGTCCTGAAATAAGCATTTGAGTAGGGAAGAGATAGTTGGAATTAGAGCAAGTATGATTTGGTTTCATATTGTATAGGAGACCCAGCTCAATGACACCAAGAGAGTTCTGGGTCCTGTGTGCCTGGACTTGCAGATGCAAAGGTTGTTGTGGATTTGAAATAGAGAATTCCCTCATTATCTCATTTGAAGTGATAGGCAGTGAAGTGTGAAAGTAGAGCTTGCTGCAGTATGCTTAGCAAATCGTAATTGGAAACTGGAGATCTACCACATTGGTAGGAAGAGGGATGATGTGTGTGTGGAAGAAATAGGAGAGCTGAATTGGTGGCAGGAGAGGGAAGGACAAGCAAGGCCAGATTCCAGTCTTTGCCCTTTTTGTTGAGGGTGTGTTTTCCCTGAAAGAGCATCAAGGACTATCAGTAAAACTTGAACTGTCATCTTGAAAATTCCTTTTGCCTAGTAACTTCTCTTTTTGTCAAGCAAACAAATAAAAGGTTGCCCTAATATTATCAATTCTCAGACTTTCCCTTGCCGGAAGTACATTACATTGTTCAACATAGATTCCTATCTCACAAATAATGTGTTTTTAAAGGTCCTATTGCTGTACTTGGAGTCATAAATGATGACTTGTTTTTGCTGTTAAATGAGGACACCTGTTTGTGCTTTCTCTAATTTGGATAGCACAGTAAGGCAGCTTTGCAAAGGAATTTTGCATTTCTCACAAGATACCTTATATAGCTATAAGTCACAGTTTTGTTTTACTTTTCCCCCAGTATAGGGAATCGGAGAAGAAAGAAAGAAACTAAAGGTGAACCAGACTCAATTAAAGTGAATTGGGTACCTCAATTCTGGATTTCTGCTATATTCACTTTAATGGCAATATTTAACTATTACTTATATATTCTCAATAGTTCTGGGGTTTGGTCAAACATGTTACAGAATTTGAGATGCAGTCAAGTTAGGTATGAAAAACAGAAATCTAACTTGAGAATATCTTTGTCTAAGACTAATTGAAAGGTGATTTTAAATGAAAAATTCATAAACATTTAGTGATATCTGTATATTCTATATCATCTCAACATAAAAGTTAATGACAAAATTATAGTTCTAGTTTACATTAATATATAAGAAGGTTCTGAAAGTTGCAAACAATATGTAGAAACAAATGATACACCTAAGTTGAGATCCTTCAGTATTAGAATATACTGTTTTCCTGTACTGATGCAGGAAAAAAAGAAATGCCATTCATTTCCTGCTTTGACTTGTCCTTCGGAAGGCGGGATAGTTGCACAGAATGACTCATTTCCCTCACGACCCAGAAGTTGCCATTCTAATGAGAAATGGCATGTGTGGAAAGCAAATTAGTAAATATTAAAGTTTTAGTCCTAGGAAATTGAGACTCTTCATTAAATTGGACAGCCCTGTGAATGTTAGAGTTACTCATCTTAAAATGTACATTGGATTAGATGTGATTAATATTCCATTTGTTAAAGGTAGATAAAGGTGTCTCAACCTGACACATTTCCTTTCCATGAGTTTTAAATGAGAACCTGAGTTCATTTTATTGATACTATTATAAAAGGAATTCGTTTACATGATGATTTGGTTCATGAGCCTAAAGGGTTGATTTAGAGAAGGTTTTTATTTGATTGTTGAATCATAAAGAGACAGGCTTTTGGGTGCCAGCCTCATCATCTGGCTTATACATGATTTTTCTTTGTTCCTCAGTCTTTTCACACATGAAAGAAATGTATCAGCAGTAGCTCTGAGGTGCAAAAATAAATGCATTTGCCTTTTGGGGTAAAATATTTGAATTGTAAAACACTAGTACATTATTCTTATTTTAATTAAATGAGGAAAACAGATCCAAAATGATTTTAGGAGCTTAATTAGGGTAAATTGGTCAGGCAGCTTAGAATTCAAATTCATGATTCTTTTCTACTCTATTTATTGGATGGTAATTTATGCATATACAGATAAATTTAGTGCACTTTAAAATGCACTTTAAAAATTCTGTGTTAAGATCTTGTTTTTTATGAATCAGATGTTGTAAGCCACAGCAGTCCATGGGCCTATTTTGGCCCACAGAGATGTTTTGTCTGCTTATAGAAAGCATTGATTTTTCTTTTTAGTTGCCCACCTGTAAAAACTACAAAGATTTCACCTACAAATCTAGACTTCCAGTTACTCTTGAAAAATCAGAAGATCCAGCAATATTAGGTCTTTATCCCCACATAGCAATTGCTACTAGAGCTGAGTAACTGCCCGCTTTAAATAATCCATGAGCCCAACACCAATGGCCTCTATCTACCTGACAAAAGCATTTGAGTATGAGGCCCCCATTACTACAAAGCAGGCTTCTCTCTGTTGGCCTAGATGAGAAAATTTTTAAACAACAATTTAAACATTATTAAGTGGTATTTGTATTTAAAGAGATTAGGTACACAAACAAAACTTAGGGCACCGCTACCTTGAACTTTCTTTTAGTAAGAAGTGAGTTCTACCTTTTCTTCTTTCCTTTAAGTTTGTCCAAAGATGCATTTGCAAAGGGATGACCAAGACCAGTGCAAAACCAGCCCGCCCTGCCCTAATACACACATCACACGCTTATTCCAACAACTTCTCTAATTAAAGGTCTCAAACAGCTCATGAGATTCCCAAAGCCAATTAAACAATGCCCATCCTTGTACCGCCCAGTAGATTGGGGAGTAGTTTGGCGAACGCTGTGATTGATATGAAAAGTAGTAACGTATTTTTAAGCACTTTTAGGACTGTTGTTACTCTGTGAGGCACAAGCTTTCAACAGAGTGGCCTTTTATCCTCTGTGCTTTTGGAGTGTGAGAACACCATGGAGGCTACATGCACCACAGCGTTCCTGTGGGCTGAGACTCAAGGCCGGGAGAAGAGGGTGGCAGCGGGGGAGTGACAGCCCAGGGAGGAGGGGGAGTTGGCAGCTGTCATCTGAATAGCAATTCCCTCTCCCATTATCCTCCTGCCCCAACGCTCCATCTATTTATATTCATGGTTTCCATCACTGCATAGCACCAAGGCCAGCTTCCTTTGCACATTTCATTTCCTTGTCTGTCTTGGAATTTCATTTTGATTTACTAAGAATCACTGGACTGCTTCAGGAAAAAAAAAATCAGCTAGTAGAAATTGGAGCTAGTTGGTAGAGAATCTGCTGGGAGGAATTTATTTAAATACAAGAAGTTAAAGCCAAATCTATATGGTAAGTTAACTTTGTGTTTACCTATTGTTATTTAATTTCTTAATTTCCTATAATGTAGTGATTAATTAGTTCAATGTGTATGCAAAATATATTGTGCTGTTAAGAGAAAAAAATGAGAAAACATTTTATATCCTAATTACAAAGAAATACATATTTAGTGTAGCACATATACAACTACAAAAATTCAGGTAAGTACAAAGAAGATTTTAAAATTACCCTATCCAGAGATAATTATTGTTAACTTTTGAGTTTATTTCTTTACAATCAAATATGTATGCATGTTTTAGGAAATTGTGATAATTAATTCTAGATATGCTACTTTATTATCTGCTTATTTATATATAATACTAAATCATAAAAATATTTCCATATCTTTAAATATTTTTTCAAAGGTTTTTAAATGTCTATATAGAATTTCATTATATAGATATTCCATGATCTTTGGAAAGTTAGGTTTTACCAAATTTGAGTGATAAACATTGTTGTGATAAAGACATTCATAAGCTTTTACATTCCAGCTTTGTGTAAATCTATGATTTTTCTTTAGGAAAAATTCCCAGAACTGATTTGTGAGTCAAAGGGGAGTTGGGCTTTAAAGTGACCTTCACAAAGGTTGTAGGAATTGAACTCCCCATGGCATTGTACGAGAGCCCAAGACAGGGAGATTTTCTAAGAACTTCTTTCTGAGAAGCTGCTTGGAATATTTTCTCTGAATGATTTTGTCTAGATATTTTACCCTGTGAAGAAGATTAATAAGTTGCTGGAGTTCCTTGGAGTATAGGAACAGTAAAGTGGAATGCTGCCAACTTTGAAAATGTTTAGAAAAAGTGTGGGCCATCTTACCCATCATTTAAATTAACATTTGTTTTAGATCACGAATAGAAAACCGACTCCTCTGGAAGAAAACATAAATGTCTGCTGGGAGAACGTGTATTTGCTTTGAGAACCCTTGGGACTAAGAAAATCACATACTTAATAGCAATAGCATAATGAGGCCACAGAAGTGCTGAAAGCATTAATTAATGAATGATTTTGAAGTTCTCCAGAAACCTAGCGAGTGTTCAGAGTGATGGATTCCTTTACTGACAAAGAGTTGTATGTTGAACTGCTTGGAGTGACTTGATTAAACCAGAGCTAAATTTTAAAACACACCTAATTACAGTTCCCCCTATTATAAATGGGATGCATCATATTTATTGGAGTCCTATTATTCTATTGAGAGGATCAACCACAGCCACACCCGTATTTTTGAAGAAGTAGTCCATAGAACTAAACTTTTAAACATACCTGGAGAGGTTTAGGAGTGAATATTGTATTGTCCATATGCACGATGTCTCAATTGACAACAAAAGAGCCATAGGAAGATAGACCTGAACTGACCAATTGAATAGAACTTGAGGCTCTGATCAGAAAAATTAAAGCTGTGTAAATAGATCAAGTTTGGACAAGTGCTTCCTAGCGTTGTCTAATGAAACTTAACATTTTCAGCAGTCCATCTGAGTTTAACAGTTTTTTAACTCCTAGCAATAAAACCAGATTTTGCTACAGTTTACTTGGCAAATTTAATCTCCACTTATTCCTGCAGTAGGATTAATTATGTAAAAACAATATGACTTGATTGTATAAGTTGACACTGATGTGACCACTCAATTGGAAAACTTGCTGTATTTTGTCATAAACGCAATGATGGCTTTTTGCTTGTTTGTTTTTAGTAATCCATAATTACTTAGAAAACCTATAAACTGGAATAGCATAGAGGGATAAAGCTATCCCTTGCCTTAGAAGTGAATTTGTGCTAATTATAATAATATGTTGCCAGCATGATTGTTTTGTAAGGGATGTTATATCATTGATGTGCTGGGAACAGTAGTTACTGTTCCCTGAGGATAGGAGACTTCCCTTGAGAAGGGTTTCTTTTTTATGTTAGAGTAATAAGAGTAACTCTTATTGACACTGATGTGACCACTCAATTGGAAAATTAACCTTTCCTGATGAATCTTTTTTTTTTTTTTTTGAGACAGAGTCTCACTTTGTTGCCCAGGCTAGAGTGAGTGCCATGGCATCACCCTAGCTCACAGCAACCTCAAACTCCTGGGCTCAAGCGATCCTGCTGCCTCAACCTCCCGAGTAGCTGGGACTACAGGCATGCGCCACCATGCCTGGCTAATTTTTTCTATATATATTAGTTAGTCAATTAATTTCTTTCTATTTGTAGTAGAGACCGGGGTCTCACTCTTGCTCAGGCTGGTTTCGAACTCCTGAACTCAAATGATCCACCCGCCTCGGCCTCCCAGAGAGCTAGGATTACAGCCTGATGAATCTTTTACCTGAATAACGAACTCAATAAAGCACTTAATACCATCAGCACTAGCAATATGTGAAGTTAGCCTCATAATTAAGGAACAGGAAGTTTGAGCCCATTTAGACTTTAATATATTAATTCCCATAGCAGATTCCCTGAATTTCATTCATCGTCACATTCATGGATCCATTCCTCCATTCACTTATTGACTCATGGCCTGAACTGAGTGTCTGAATGGAGTGCAGCAGCCACTGGGGCCACAGGATGGGCTCCTTGCCCTCAAGGAGCTCCCAGCCCAGTGGACCAGACAGGGGAATTCAAACACAGTGTGGAAAATGCTACAATGAAAGTGTCCTCAGTGTTCTCAGACATAGGGATGGAGTAGCCAACCCTGCCTCAAAGTTTTTCCTGACTCTCTCAGCTCCATTCATTTTATTTTAATTTATAGCTGTTTTACCCCAGAACCTGGCCACTCAGATTGTGGCCCGCAGATTAGCAGCATCAGCATCACCAGCTGTTGGTTAGAAATGCAGCATTTAGGTCCCATCCAGACCTATTGAATCATAATCCGCATTTTAACAAGATCCCAGGGATCCAAATTTTTATCACATGATCAAAAGTCCTCATCTGTGGAATGTAGGGGTGGCACTGTTACAAATGGATGTTCTTAAAAACGTGAGCAGAGTGAGCCCACTCTTGATCAATGAATACTGGAATGATTTAGTAATAATAGCTCCTTCATTAAGTGCTTATTGCATGCCAGGTGTGGCTGCCAAGTGGCTTAATATAAGATCTTGCTCTTTTCTCTCTATACTTTGCAGGATAGGAATACTTACCCCACTTTGCACATTAGAAAACAGAAGTTCATAGAGGTTAAGAGCTATGTCCAGGCCATGCAGCAAGTAATAGGTGAGCCAGGATTTAAATGCAGGACGGCTTTGTTCCAAAGCTTTCCACGGACTCCCAACTATTAGAGACACATCCCTGAAAGCTTGCTTTACACTTGGTATTCTTTTAACTGTCAGTTTCCTGATAGAAATTTAGTACATTGAACTCAAACAGCTCTAAAACTGGAGTTAATTTCCTTATGCTCCAGATACAATTAGTAATTGCTCTAAACCTGCTAGCATGATGTCTGGCAGCTGCCAGTTCCCAGGTGCAGTTTCAGTAAATGGTAAATCCCATTGATCTGCTAATTTATGGTGCCAGATATTAGATGAACTGCTTTTCTGAAAACCTTCAGGTAGACTCCACCTTGGGAGTTATGTTGGCAGCATTTGGTCGGCAGACTGCCTGTTAGATACCTGGGCCTGTTTCTTTCTATGGAATATATTTCTTTCAGGGAATGCTTGTTGAATCAATTATTAAGTGTTTTTTAAAATCTGTATTATTAGGATTTATTTTTCTTGTCAAGTTTTCCCTATTTAATTTATTTCTATCCAATTAAAGAAAAGTATGACATTCTATGATCATTGTAACAAATGTGAAATTATGAAGATATATGAGGAAAAAGTTAATCTCTCCCCTAATTCCTCTTCATTCCTACCCCACGGTGGTAAGCAGTGTCCACAAACTGGCTTGTATTGTTCCATACCTTTCTCCTTCCTCTTGCAAATATGAGCAAACAGATATATACATGTAGAGGGTTTTTAATTTCGTAAAGAAAAATACCCCGCAGTTTGCTCTTAAAATGTTATGGATATCACTCCCTCCATTCACAAATCTCATTTGCAAAATGCCTTTTTCTTCACTATAAGGATTCTCCATTTGGGCAGGGGAAGTGAGAAAAGTATTTTCAGTTGAAGTATCTCACAATGAATTTTAAGAAAATTAGCCTAGAAAGGTGGTGATACCAAATAAAGGTGCTTATTAATAAAACCCATGAACATGCCTATATTGATCTTTAAGGAATTATCTTTCTAATCTAGAATATGAAAAAAGAATAGTTATATATATATCTTTTATTCTAACTAAGCAGTTTGATCATTCTTTCGGTGAGAACATATAGCTTATTCTGGCAAAATTAATGTGGGGCCCCAAATGCTGTAACAGTACACTGTACTCATTTCTCCTTGCCTATTGCTGTGCTGTCTTGCACAACTTCAAAGCTTCCCATCATTTGTGAGGAAAACATTTTCTTCCTTAATAAATGGCATGAATACACTTCAATTTTCTATTTTTCTAACCTACTGGTTTATGTGAAACTGGTGCCAAATTTCTCATCATGAAGGCATCTGATTTATAGTTAGACAGCAGTGATAGCCTCAAGTGAACTGTTATAAATAGTGTATCTTGTTCTTTTTAGTTGTGGACTGCATATTAATTTTGTCTATACTGTATAATTATCTTATTCTTGTGAAGAAATAATATATATAAAAGAGGATTTTAAAAGTGTAAATACTAGGAACATTTGTTGCATTATTATCACGGTTATCATATTCTTTTGCCCTGGTACACTTTATTTTCTGAATTTTAAAAGAATGGCTGTATGATGTGCTCTTTGGGGCTTGGATAAATAATCTTTTGCTCTGGTGGTTGTTATAGTCCTCTTTCTAATTTGCTTTCCTGGGCTTCCTCTGGCTTCCCCTTGAGCCACCCATCATGCCCACGGCATCTGATGGCATTTATTAAAAATGATTCTAGGCCAGGTACGGTGGCTCAGACTTGTAATTCTAGTACTTTGGGAGGCCGAGGTAAG